AAGAGCCAGTAGAAGAATCCTGTCATCAGACGAATGATACCAGATCGCAGTGCACGGAATTTGAATCCAGAACACTGCAGCCAAGGCGATGGATCGATAGGCGTAGAACACCTTCCAGGAGGCTTCAGGTCAATCCCAAGCTAGCATCATACACCGCGGCAGCCGTTTCAGGGAGGTATCCAAGAAAAGGTAAAAACATCAAGGAAAACCATTACTTTAGCAATTAATCAATTACCTTCGTGCATTGATTTAGGTTCCGTAACCTTCCATTCCTTCACGTGATCGCCAGCATGCGGAGTTTTGGCAGGGAGGCTACTAATTTTACCAGTTGATCTTCGTTTTCTATAAGCCGAAGGTCATTGAGCTCCCTATATACTTGGCGTATGTCTGGCGCAGTTGTACAGCGTTTTGGCGACATTTTAGGCTACGTTGGCAGCGTTTTTATTAACATTTTTCGTGGTCAAGGTCGTTGGACTTCTGCTTTTTCTTCGGCTGGACTAGAATTTTCGCGGAGAAATTTTTGGGTGTTTAATTCGGGATTGCAAGAAAAATGGAAGATCTAACAGTGAGGTCCTCTGCACAACACTGACCTCCCTATTCGAACATATCTGGAAGGAAGTGTCCCGACTAACTAGTGAATATATAGTGGAGATATACAAGATGTGCTTACCACAGGTGTATTAGCCTAACGCTAATATACAAAAAGGGCAGTCGCACATACTGTGCGAACCACAGTGGTATTAGGCTAACGCCAGTTGTGACAAAATTACTGGCCTCGATTCTCGTTCGTCGCCTCACTGGAACGGGAATCTGGGATTAGGGAAGAACAGGCAGGTTTCCGCCTAGGACTTGGCTGTATAGACCATATATTCACTTTGCGGCAGGTGCTAGAGCAGCGCGACGCATACCGCAGACCGACAATAGCTGTGTTCCTCGATTTCAAGAGTGCGATCGATTCAGTCGATCGACTTATTCTGTCCTAAATACTTGCGCGTAAAGTTTTCCCACGAAATATGCGAACATCCTGCGTGCTGTATACTCGAATACTACAAGCCGCGTTGATCTGTCCGATAGCTTTCCGACCACAAGTGACGTTCGTCAATGTTGTCCGATTTTCTCACTTTTCTTCATTTTCGTCATGGAGTGTTCCCCTACGGAATCTCAGGATGTAGGCGTTATGGTCTTGTCTGGTGAAAGCTTAGTTGATCTTGATTATGCGGACGATATCGTCTTGCCTTTCGACGATGTTCCGACGGCACAATCAACCCTGCCTAACCTGTCTCGTGGTCCCATTATTTAGTACGCGCTTCGAAGTGTTGTTGCAGGCCCACCAGCCACTTGTTGACCCCTTGACCTTTGATAGTGAGGAGCTCAAGCTTGTTGATCAATTCATTTGTCTTGACAGCTGCGTCAGCAACGATGGGCACATAGAAACTGAAATCTGTTCACGTATTGCAGAAGCCATAACTGCTTTTTTGAACCTGCGGCATCTTTGGCTTCAGAAGGGTGTTTCTTTCCGTCTGGAAGACCGTGTGTACAAGGTCACTGTGAGAGCCGTCCTGCTCTATGGTAGTGAAACTTTGCCCCTTCGGTCTAATGATCTGCGGCGCCTTCAACTTTTTTATCATCGTTGTCTGCGAAGCGCTACTGATTTCGGATGGTACCAGCGTGTCCGCAACGGTGATATGCGTAGGCGAGTACTAGGTAGTGATAATCATGCTAGCTCTTTAGAACAACTGGTAAGTTGTGTTGACTTGGGCACGTGCCTGGTCACCGCTTACCTAGGAGGGCCTTGTTTTGTCTGCAGGTGTAGGATGGCGCGAGGCTCGAGATGGACAAAAGTTGACTTAGCATCATAAAATGAAGTCACTGACGACTAAATTGAGTGCCGTCGGTTTGTCTCGCCTTCCGGGCTGGAGTCCACTTGACCCGTCTTGTGCTTGGCTCTAGACTTTACAGGATATGGCTCGCAGTCGGCACCAGTGGCACGTTTGCTGCCGTCTCCTAATCAGATTGCCTGTTTAAAGTGTGTTTGGTGCTGAGTTATCTGCGGGGTAATGGTTGATTATAATGCAGAGCAGTGAGAACCGCAAGGAAGCTGTCTCACCGATGCCTCTTTATCTTTGCACAATAGCTAGCTGTTTGTGACGGTATGTTGTCTGCACCAGGTGTAGGCGCCTTGACCCTGAATGTTTGCTTAGGGCATTAAGGTTTTTCGGTAAGTCCCCCCCTCTCCCCCCTTTATCCTTCTTTATTTCATGGGTCATCGTGGTTGTATGGCAGCGAAGCATCAGTTCAAATTGCTGATGTACTGCTGTTGCTGGTGGTGGTGATGATGATCGGCAATTAGGCGTTTGACCTATGCCACCTTGTTCAACTTTATTTTGCCCAATTGTTACTTCACTGGTGCTTTCAACAAAAGAAGCGTATTCATTCGGGGCCAACTCACACTTCATCAAACCATGTGGTTGAACGACGCCTCGCATCGCCGTGGAATATACCGTTTATTTATTTGTTTACTACTGGAGCCAATGGCATCGGCGTAACCGATAAATCACTGACCTCCGGAATAAAATAACGTGACCAAATGGGTTCAGCATGAGACTGAAATGCATACGTGCGCTCCTTACTCTTCTTGCTCGCTCAACTCACTTTAAATAAGTTAACAAGTGCAAGTCATGCGTCACCGGAGTACCGCTCACAATTATGTTGCATCATCACAGCTTAGTTTCTTTCGTTTCACCGAAGGTGCCACAAAAAGCCGGATGAAGCTAGCTCTATTTGCAGAAATAATAATTCGTCAGTCTTACAGTTCCCTGGACATAAAAGTGAAGTCCCATCTTTCAGTTCACACTTTAAGCTTGTGTGGCCACACCCACAGTTTGATATATGGTTTCCTATCAGATATTGTTAATGGCACTGAGGAGACAGTACAAAATATGTACATCTACCAGCTTTCGTCCTCTTACCGTCCTTTTCAAACTGCTTCTTTTGTGTCCTGGCCGTACTTATAGGTACCACTGTTTCAGCGCAAGCGTCATTCCTGCCGGTACTTGTGAGGATACGTACAATAGCCTTCCGCCAACAATTAAGTCAGCCAGAACTCTGATACTTTGGTCTCATTGTGTGGAGTACAAGTTTGAGTTTCATGTCGAGCTATAGGTAAATTAATTCAGGGCTTAAAGGGTTAAACTTGGAAAGCAATAACAGAAAAGAACAAGGTGCGTCAATATTTTTTGGCGCGCTATTTTGCACTTTGTCGATTGCTTTAAAAATTAGTGCTTTTTAAAGCGCACGTTCAAGCAAATTTGCGTACCTTGTTTCTACCACAACCGGTTTTACCCTATTGGTTCGAGTGTCGTAACCCACGGGCTAGCAGTGACTCGACAAGATGTTACTTTCGCGCTTTGTAGACATGTAGCCTGCTGGCATCCATGTCCCGCGTCTTCCAATACAGCTCTACTTGTGTAAACAAGGCGATGCATGGAAAACGCTTGTTAAGCTTGCACAAGACAACGAGGTCCTTCCCATTAGCGCAACAGAATATGCTCACATAAGTGATGCGCCTCACGAAGTATACGTTATCCCATGTCATCATTCCGCACTCGGTGTTCCCACTACATATGGGCGATCCTGCTCAGACATTATCAAATTCCGACAGCCTGCTCATGTCATCTAGGCGCATCGGTCGGAATTCGCATCTATACAAAGGTGTCACACAAGCATTGTGAACCCTATCCTTTAAAGAAATCTGAACGCCGCGTCGGCTCCACAGATGTCTCCAGCTGATGGGTCAACTTGGCTTTATCGATACGAGAAGAAGGCAGAAAAGCATTTTCCTAGATAGCTAATATAATCCACCACGGCAAGTCTTGTTCACGAGTCCTGTACCAACATTGCACTTGAAAGTGGTAAAGTACAAGTCATACTTAAACGCTTCAATCACCAGTCGGTTAGGGGTCACCTGCGTACCATGAGTGTGGTCACCAAAGCAATATCACCAGTTGCTATCTGGAAAAAGGTTGATGCCGAAATTCTGGCAAAGTGCTGAAAGCAGGACATCCTCCATCGAGAGAAACAGAAAAAGGTCACCTCTGGTATATGAACTATCGCCGTCTCATACTTCGACAGTGTCCTACTTTTAGTCGCTCTGTATAGTCAATTGTATTCAGCTTATTCATCGATCTCGGTTGTTTCATTTCTTCAGAAAGAAAAGTTCCATCCTTGCCATTGCTTTTGGTTCGCTATCACTTCTACTATTGCGCTATCTACTTTGAGACTAGGCGTTGGCTCAAGTAATAATCAGTTGACTCGTGTCGATACTTCTTTTTGTAGCAATGACAACATGTCGGACCCGCTTACCTTCCGTTTTTAAGCGCGAATAACCATTGAAAGCTAGTCGCTTTCAGTAGATAGCCTGCTCGTTCACTGGACTATCTGATCAGTTTGCCATCCTCTTCAGTCGATTGACTAATCTAGCTTTCTTTTTCTGTTCTTTTGGTCACTTATCAGCCAAGTTTTTAGTTAGAAATCGACCAATATATTGGTGATTTTGCGCACTAAGCATTTCAGAGGTGCTTGTCGCGGCATCCTTATTAAACCAGCTCAGGTACTCCACTCTGTCTACTTTCACCAGTTCTCAACTCAACGTGAGTAGTTCACACGCAACCTTGACTACATATGTGCAGATCCTGAACAAGAGTTTGGGCATAATTTCTTTGGCATCTGTACATTCTAGTTATCACGCCACACCATAGCAACACTTTATCGTTTTTATTTGTTACGGAGTTCACGGTGTTCTAGGGTTTCTGCGAAACTACTCCCTTGCTTCAGTATTGGAGTGAACGTTGTAAGCCTGCTTTCTGTTCCATAGATTCACTGACTCCTATGTCTTGCGGCCCTCCTCGGCGTCCTTTTTGATTCACTGCGTTTCGCCACATCTTGACTTCTGCTTATAACTTACTCTTGCTGCTGGCTTTTTTTGTTCTGCATATTTTCAGATGGCTCTGGCAGCTCAGAAGGCTTTGTTAGATGAGTTGATGGGCAAGAATCGGAATGCCTGCAACGGCGAGAATACAAGTGGACCCCATTGGTCGGATGATGACGTCTGCAAATACTTTTTGTGTGGTTTTTGTCCACACGAACTATTCGTGAATACCAAGACCGATTTGGGGCCTTGCTCCAAGACACACGATGAACGTATGAAGGAAGCCTACAAACAGAGCAAACGATGTGGCAAAATGGGCTATGAAGAAGAATTTGTTCTCTATCTTAAGCATCTATTGGATGACGTCGATAAACGCATTCGAAGAGGTCATGAACGCCTTGCAGTAAACAAAGCTGTGCATCCCGATCCTGTGGCTGCCAGTGAAAAGAAGGAAAAGATCGCAGCACTGACGAAACGAATTAACGACTTAATTAGACAGGCAGAAGAGCTCGGTACGGAAGGCAAGGTTGACCAAGCGCAGGGAGTTTTGAAACTATGTGAACAGCTCAAATTTGAGCGGTCGCAACTAGAGGGCGATATTCGCCCCGGAATGGCACAGGCAAGGAATACTTGTTTTTACTCTTTACTCTGTAGACAAAGGAACTTGAGGTATGCGAGATTTGTGGCGCTTTTCGTATCAAAGATGACGCTCCTCAACGTGTAGAAGAACATTTATCAGGGAAGATGCATTTGGGGTACTCTAAAATACGGGATTATTTGAGACAGTACTCTGAACGTCGCTTGTCGTCTGTTCGCACATACAAACGCGAATCGAGAACCGAAGACCGTTCACCCAGAAACCGAGAACGTCCGGTGAACACTGCTCGCAGGTAGGTACTCCAAGATCGATTGAATGAGGTAGCTAGATGTACTTGGGTTTGTTTACCCACTGAACGTGTGCTTTGAATCACTGGGATAATTTGTCAGCTGAAAGGTACTGATTACGGTTTTAATTTCGCTTATTAGGTAATTTGGATGCTACGTCTAACGGATCGCACCAATCACTCAAGGTATTTGTTTTGCTTGTACTCATCTTAGCGAGTAAACATTTACTTCGGTTACGGATAGTATTATAGTAGCGTTACTCTATTGTCCACACGAACGGTCACTCGCCTAGTCTTCATTCGTTTATTCTCCACGATTTATTCCCCTTTCTTTTCTTTCAGTCCCCGCTCCCACTCTCATGGACACCGGCGTGGTCACTTGAGCCGTGAGGAAGATCGTCATCGCATTAAACACGATTATCGGGATGACCGACGCCGGCGAGAGCGATCAAGGTCACGATCTCGTTCCCATCATCGAAGCGATAGGCATCGTCACGAACATTCTTCCAAATTCAGCAAACGGAACACTTCACCCTTCAGTGCCGCGCGACGACCTCCCGAAGGGGCAGAGGACTACTAACTGTCAGGCTACTGCATCATTTAATTTTTGTTCTCTAGAATAAATTGTACATACACTACCAGCCAGATGGCTTGTTACACAAAATGGGTCTTTCCTTATACTTATCTTAGCATTCTTGCTTGCGTAGGTCCGTTGATCCTTGCGAACTTCCAGCGGGATGCGAATTCACCCATCGCTCTCCTTTACGCCAGGAAACCTGATTGGTCCAAGACGCTAAATAAAAGCCAGTGGTATCCCTGTGCTTATACGTCTCTCTTTTGGACCTGGTTCGGCCATTGATATTTGCATTCACCGCACCGTCTGCGTCCAATTTGCAGTGGTTACGTATACTGCACATCAGGAAAACCGCTCAACGAGCGTACGTAACACATGACCCAGACAAGGTAAGAAGTGGATCTTTGACAACACTCGAATGAGGCGACAGAGGGCTTATTGATCAGAAACAGCTGGTAGACTTCAGCACTGCTCACCCCGTGTTGTTTTCATTAGATGTACGTTCTCTCAGGACATTGATTCGTTTGGGCGACAAGTGACTGCGGCGGTAAGCTCTGTAACCTGTTCCTACAACGTACCGTGTTACTCTTGCAGCTACGCCATTAGGCATTTCCACGAACAGTCGTATCTCATATAAATGTTTGCATAATGAGTACCCGGATACTCAAGGGCATCGATTCTCACCGGACTAGGGCATTGCAATACGTGGCGTCGGAATTTGTAGTAGTGTTTCTTCTTCCTTTTTACCGCATCAAGCATGAGACATCCGAAGGATCCGTGCATATGTTGGTATCCGGAGAAGCCATTGCTGACACTGAATGCAATGTGGTTGGGTTGACTATCCTGCATTAACTAAACCAGTTTGCGAGCTGACAAGCAAGCTTCGTGAGCATGACTGCTAACTTACGCAGGCACCGACTACTAACCACTCGTCTTTGGGGGTCATCCGTTAATGAGGATCAGTAGCGGAATTGGCGCCATAATCACAGTGGAATAGACCGTCGTGCTTGTTAGGGCATTTGCCAAAAAAGCTCGGTCGGCGTACGTTTGAACTGCTTCATGATCATCTTACTCAGATTGCAAGTAACTCGGGGGGGGGGGGGGTTGGGCTTTGCTTGTAGCCAGGGTTTGCAACGCCATCTTAGTCCTCTCTTTAGCTTGGCCACTTGAATCTACATGGGGCTTTGGCGTAGCAACGCATCGTCGACACAACCTGACATGAGCCAGTTTCACTGAAGCGATCCAGAGCTCCCCGTCCCGACAACCTCTCATCATAATCCAGGATCTCTGGCAACTCAGGATTACTTGCTTTGGCTGTTTGACACAAGGAGCGTCTTCTAACTGACACTTGTCAACTGTCGTTCACCCCTCCAAGTAGGCGCGTCGGAAAATCCATCATAATATCGTTTATAGTTCATATGCCTCCTAACTACCGAGGCACATTTAAGTTCATTGACTCACTGATTCCTGTGAAGATAATGAAGCGAGGACAGTCAGGTTGGGAGCGGATAGATCTCTCGCGCCTTTGTTCTTCAACAACTTACGGAACACCACGTTATTCAGAATCAGCTTGCTATCGTAGTCTTACTTTGGATTCCTTTAATCGCAATTGTTTGTAACGTTGCCTGTCTTTGGAGAGTGAAAGGCTTTCTGTGCCACGAAGCCCCTTACACGAGACGCATGAGCAGTTATCCTGGTTTATTTCACTGCCAACACAAGGCTGAATTAGATGCGTCTTTTCAACTATGCACATTGCCCGCTTGACGAAGAGGACCTTGTTTTCGATGTTAGGTAATGGAGGTTTCGAGGTGAGGGCACCGGGAAGTGAAGTCACTAATGCTGTTAGTTCGTCCAGGCTGGTGCCTGCGCGAATCCTCCTTTTCTACACTGGAGAATTAGCAGGCGTGGGTCGCAGCTGCCTCTACTTTCACATCTTCTGTAGTCTCACCGGGCTACCTGTTTGAAGCGGGACTCGATGCCATTTGTGGAGCGAAGTCGCTCATAATAAGAGTGATGATAGCTGAAAGGAATATGTCCAACTACCACCGCGTTTTCTTCGCACCGCTACCGACTGTGTATAACCGTGCAGTTTTGGAAAAGTGAGTTTTTATCCCATTTGTTTGCATAGTGTAGTATTGTGTACTTCACATCAGATCTTTCGTCCTCCCATTTCTACAAGTGGACTGGTAGTTGTGACAGCAAACTACCATAATATTGTTGCTGCTGAACTACGGTGCATTCCATTCCTTAACACACCGTCTCCATTCACTCGTTCGCTACTAGTAAGGACTGCCACTTTGCTTGATGGCAGACCATCGTGCCTCAATGACTTGTCTTCTGGATTTGCACTGCTTACCTTGGCTTGATCCATTTGTACCCCTACTTTTCCGCTATTTCTGAATTCGAGTTTTTCCAGCACTGCGTCTGTTGGGTAAACTGCCGACTGTCAAGCTCAACATCGCACTGAATTTCCTCTCTAGAAGTTTCAGACGATCACCTTATTGACTGTACACCAGAATGAGCAACTTCTGAAGTTTTGTTCTCCCTGTTCCACCTCCCGATCCCCATTTCTACTAACACGAAGGGTGACGACTGCAGTAATACTGTGGTTTGTTTCCATGTGAATATGGTGCCCGATGGTTTTCCATCAAGAAACCGCCTAGCAGGCTGTTCTTGCATGCGTTGAACGTGTTGGTTTGGTGGCACTCAAAACCAGCGTGACTGCCAGTGAGTGGCTCGCGCTGCACCAGTCATGGCGTGTATCGCGTCGTCTTCCACTATGGTTTACCTGCTGGTTTAAGTTACCTCTGGCATGGGGCAATGGATGCCGCGATTCAGCCAATTCTGTTCTTGTTGTTTTCGTCTTATTCGGTTAGGGCGTACACTGACTCTCCCCCTCTCATTATTACTTTGGTCGTCTTAATATTTATGTGCCAACGAAGCACCAACACTATGTGCCAAAGTAACTGTTGCTTATGGCGATTTTTCGTCGGAGACCAGACCCGAACTACCCTTTCCCTCCTTAACCTCTCTTCGCACCGTTGAGAGACGTTGTAAATTCATCGGTAGATCATTTCTTAAACATTATGTGGTGTTTGGATGGGTTACTTTTAGTCACATGTTTGGCATTCTCCGTTCCTTAAGGCTACACGTGAAAAAATCTAGATGCATTTTGCCATTACCACCTGGCAACAAACCTCATATTCCTGATGTTCACTGATTGGTATCTGCGGATCAAACTGTTCTCTTCCTCCGTAGACACGTCAACCATACATCCAGTTTTTGAGTAGAATCATCCGTCGTAGTCTTTCTTGTTTCGTAAGTAACCTTAGACTCGGTCGATCGCACCGACCTGTGGGTTTTATTTGCCTTTTAGAAGAGTACTGTATTACGTTTTGCGTCTCGACCAACAGTTGCGATGCACCAGGAATTCATCAAAGAGCTGTGTATCTCTGTACGGCTACCCGACCTTAAGGCATCGGCTTAAATCGTGATGGACTAACTTACCTACGCTTAGGCCAGCATAGAGAAGTTCTAAATATGCATTTCATATCGATTCATGAACTTATTAAAATCAAGTCCACCTCTCCTCATTGTGATATATGCGGGTTTCGTTTAGCTCAAAGGTTAGTATACATACCATGAATGTGCCTGTCTTTCACGGGTTTGCACCGAGGCCACACGCTCATTTGTGCTTAACCGTGGTCGGTATACTATACCGAGAAGTATCACACAACGCTGATTGATCAATGGGTGGCGCTCAGGACGTTGTGTTTGGTAAAATACATTCCGCAGACGTTTGCTCATTGTTCATCGGGGCCTGTTGGGTCTCCCTGCCTGTGCGATTCCGGTCGAACCGGCCTTGTTCACCGCATGTTCCCGTTTCCAATCAAAATCAGAATTCAAATGCTTAATGCAGAAGCGTGTTGGAGAAACAGCTACCGAAACGGGTACAAGTAGTGTGGGAACCAGCGGATATTTGTGTCGACCCCAAAATGTTAAGTTTTCGAGTAGATATGTCAGCTGCCGGAATCAGAAGTTCCATTCGAGCCAGTGAGGTGGCGCGCGCGTCCCGTGATCCCCTCAAATGTTCTTTAACATTGAAATACCGTTATTTTCCCGGGAGACGTTAGTCGTCTTTACGTAACGACCCGAGCGTTTTGCTTGCGCGTCGTGACAGGTTATGACAACAGTTCTGTTCTCTACCTGGAAGGTCGTTGCACATGAATGCTTAGTTACGTGACCGGTGTATTTTCGCATTACTCGGTCCTTCGCGAATAAGTACTTTATTCTGCAAGGGAAACCGGCAAACATGATAAACTGTTTGCTCCTAAAATCGCCCTACTATGTGTCGTTCGTTCATTTCGATTACTAACGACCTTATCGAACCGCCAATGTTCTGCTTTAGCAGACAGACAATGGTAAGCTCACTGTAGCACAGCTGAACATTAACCAATAAACGAACCCTCTTTAACGTTATGCTTGGTGCTTGTCACTCAGAGCAACCCCTGGCCAGAAGCGGCAGCCTCTCAGTCACCAGAAGGGCTCCAATAATATTTGGCGTCAGGGTTTGCAGCAGAGGCCATTCTGACGACGGTAATAGTCTTGCAATCTGGTTTCTGAGAGGCAGTATATGTCTACCGAGAGCCTCTCAAGCGTGCGGGTCAGGCTTGGTTGCTTTCGCATTTGCATCAGAGTGCGAACATTGAACGCTGCGAGGCTGAATGGGAACCAGATCGCCAAAAAGCTGGGGCTTCGGTGGGGTCTGAAAAGCCTGTGGTCGCCGGGCATCGAACACCAAGACTTTGACTCTGACTTCCGTCAGGTGCAATCAGTGAGTTGCATTTGGCGGTGACCAGGGAGAACATAAGCGTAGTTGAATCGTGGGACGATCTGTGAGTGAAGATTCAGCAGTGGGTACAGTGGAGTAGGTAGACAGCGAGAGTGAAAGCAGTAGTATTGTCCGTTCATGATTCATCAGTGGTTGCCCAGGCCGAAGTAGGGGGTTGCCTTAAGGGGCCTTACACCGATCCTTTGATCAAGGATCTAACCTACAAGGCAGCAGGGCAATATGAAGGTCTCGCAATCCGTTGGGAGCCAGTGATCAAAC